TCTAAAACTGTCGGTACAAACAGAGCACGGCTGTGTCTCTGTACCCCTCATTTGTGAACAAGACCCCAAGATACATGAACTCCTCCACTTGGGGTAGGACCTCCTCCCTGACCCGGAGAGGGCACTCTACACTTTTCCGGCTCAAGACCGTGGCCTCGGATTTGGAGGAACTGATCTTCATCCCGGCCGCGTTGCATTCGGCTGCGAACCGCTCCAGTGAAAGCTGTAGATCACAACCTGATGAAGCCAATAAGACCACATCATCTGCAAAAAGCAGAGACGCAATCCTAAGGCCACCAAAACGGATCCCCTCAACACCTTGGCTGCGCCTAGAAATTCTGTCCATAAAACTTATGAACAGAATCGGAGACAAAGGGCAACCTTAGCGGAATCCAACCCTCACTGGGAACAAGCCCGACTCCCCTCCCTGGGCTGCCACCTTACCGTGGTGGAGGGGTTTGAGTGTCCCAATGACCCTAGGAGCTATGCTGTCAGGGGCTTTACGCCCCTAGTAGGGTCACCCATGGCAGACAGGTCCTAGGTGAGGGACCAGACAAAGTGCAGCCCAAAAACCCCGATGATGAGAAAACTAAACGGACCTAGTGTTCCCTTGCCCGGATGTGGGTCACCGGGGCCCCACTCTGGAGCCAGGCCTGGAGGTGGGGCACGCGGGCAAGCGCCTGGTGGCCGGGCTTTTACCCATGGAGCTCGGCCGGGCACAGCCCGAAGAGGAGACGTGGGTCCCACTTCCCATGGGCTCACCACCTGTGGGAGGGGCCAAAGGGGTTGGGTGCAATGTGGGATGGGTGGTGGCCGAGGATTATATATATATATATATAGATATATAGTGTTGTGCGTGTGTGTGTGCGTGAGCGCGGCTCTAAAGTCTGGAAATTACAATTTTAGGCAAAGCAGCTTTTCTGTAGTTTAAAATGTTTTTTTCTGTCTGATTTGGAGAATAAATGTTTTAATCCAGTGTGGACGGACTCTACTGCGTTTTTTTCTTCTTGTGGAGAGACTAAAGGCACCGTGCTCATCGAAATGTCAAGAAGACTGCTCGAGTCATAACAATGTACGAAACTAATCTGCACAGTATATTTGTCATTTCCATGGATACCGTGGCCCAAAACTCAGACGTGTGAGCAACAAGATGACTGGCTGCATGTTTGGAAACAGCCTGGAAGAGCCAGGCTGACACTGTGGATGTGCTGCTTTACGTTCACATGTATGAAGATAACATGTCCGTACATGCAGGAAACTACTGGAGACAACTCGAGCTGCACCTTGTAAGATAGTTCTGGAGAACCTTCATGCTGCTTGGTTCCAGGGAGCACATTTCAAACCTGGTTGTGTCAAACGTTCCGACACTAGTCAAATCTGCAACATCCACTGTTCTACTCAACTAAACACAAGTTTAACTGCAGGTCATCTTCAAACAGTGGTGCTGAGCTGGGTCTACTCCAGGTGTGAGCACGTCTACCTGAGGCCACAGGTAGGCTGGAGTTGGCTGCCTTCAGAGATTTGACGGCGTCAGCCACACGGGACGGGTACACACACACCGCTGCTGTGGTGATCCCTGCAGAAGAACACAAGAAGGTGTTAGACAACGTTCTGCTGCTCAGCTGTGGACACACGGAGCTCTGCAGACACAACATGAAGCTAAGAAACCTTAGTCCAGGTTCAAACAGCTGCAGGTGGACCACAGGAAGAAGATCAGCCCCCCAACCCTATCCACATCAAGAGTACTAAGGTGGACACTGTGGACTGCTACAAGTACCTGGAGGTCCACCTGGAAAATAAACTGGACTGGACAGATAACACCAGCACCTCTACAAGAAAGGACAGAGTCGTCTTTTTCTTCTGAGGAGACTCAGGTCCTTTAACATCTGCAGGACCATGCTGCAGATGTTTTACCACTCTGTGGTCTCCAGCATCATCTTCTACTCTGTGGTGTGCTGGGGCTGAAGAAGCTGATGTCAACAGACTTGATAAAGTCATGAAGAGCTGGTTCAGTTCAGGGAGTAGACCTGCAGTCTCTGAGCAGAGGATGCTGAGGAACCTGCTCCAGATCCTGAACATCACGTCACCCCCCCTGCATGACACCCTGGACTCTTCCTGCACCTTCAGTCGTACACCGAGATCACCAGGTGCTCCACAGAACAGGAAGTCCTTCAAACTGTTTAACTCGTCCCCCTTTAGGACAAAATTAATCCAAAATGTTTCTGTCTGACGTGAACCTGTTTTACACCTTAATGTTAATCTTTTTATATAATCAGTTATTTTATACTCTGTTAGTTTTAATATCTTGTGTAAATGTTAATTGTGTACAGGTCCTTCTCAAAAAATTAGCATATTGTGATAAAGGTCATTATTTTCCATAATGTA